TAAATATTTAACGATTCTTCGAAACCCCGTGGACAATTTCGATTCTGTGTTCAGGTACATGAAACTAGGAGATCGTCTTGGTATCGGACACAAGCCAAACTCTCTAAAAAGATTCCTTCAGAAAGGAATTCCTTTTTCCGCCATGCTCCGTAAGGCAAATCCTTTAACCAGAAATCCTCTTCTTTATGATCTGGGTTTGAGCTTCAAGTATTATCAAAATCTCACTGCTGTTAATGGGTACATTCAGTTTCTGGACAAAGAGTTTGACTTGGTTATGATAATGGATTACTTTGATGAATCATTGGTGTTGATGAAACGACTTCTTTGCTGGCAGATGGAGGACATTTTGTATTTAAAATTAAATGAGCGACATAACAAAGAAAAGGACACAGTACTAACCGACGATGTTAGAGAAAACGAAAAAAGATAGAACAAAGCCGAAGTTCTGTTGTTTGAAAAATTTAACAAAACAATTTGGAAAAAAACCATCTTCCGTCAAAAAAACTGGGAGATTAAGCGAGCACGCGTAACAAATGAAACTCGCTTACAAACAATGTACAAGGGAAAACAAGCGAAGGGGTATGTCATAAGAAACGATTTGCCCGGTGCACTGCTGGCTGTATGCCAGAAGCTGATAACAAGCGAAATAGATTATCTTGAACACTTGAGAGTGAAGCAGCGACAGCGAAGTAGCCACATAAAGGTGGATCAACCAACGATGGAGACCGAACACAAACGCGAGGACAATGAGTCCTGGGAACTAGCCAAAGATCTTGCTTATGAACCAGTTGAACTTGCTTGAACATCTCCAGAAGCACGCATGCGCAACCATGTGNNTTTTTTTTTTCAGGGTTAAATTCCAAGATGGCAGGTGCTGAGTGTTTAATTTCTCCATACTATCTTCGGAGAGAGTTAATTCATGGGAAAATTTGGAAGTTCTGTATGACAGAATTTTATGGTAGTGAGGATTTAACCAGCCTACAAGATTTACAAGATTTATTTAGGTCAACTGCAACCGGTTTTGATTGATTTAGCTGAAGTGTCTCCATGTTTGTAGTAGAGGGTCTGAATGAGGTGCAGTAATCTTAGTTACGTGTGGCTATTGCTATGATGTCCCACAAAAGCGAAAAAGCGCACGCGACAATGCCAATTAGTAGATTAGCATCATGGGTAGCGATAGTATGTCGTTGCTTGGTTGAGGTTCACATGATTACAAGTTGAAATATAAAAAAAGAATTTCTGTACTCCGAGCGCAATTAAACATCTTATTAAAAAAGTAGGATATTTCGTTCGGTTTCACCGAACTTCGTCAGTCACAATAAAAATTTTTGAATGTTAAGAAGGATTATATGAAGTTCATTATGGTCTCGAGGGGGCTATAAAGGAGAGCGTGTCATAG